ATATATATATATATATCAACGGAACAGAACAGAGAGCTCAGAAATAAACTCACGTCTATGTGGTCAATTTGACAAAAGAGGTGAAACATACAATGGGGTAAAGACAGTCTATACAATAAATGGTGCTGGGAAAATTGGACAAATAGATGCAAAAAAATGAAACAATACCACCTCCTTACACCAAACACAAGAATAAACTCAAAATGGATTAAAGACTTAAATGTAAGTTATAAAACCATAAAAATCCTAGAAGAAAACATAAGCAATAAAATCTCAGACATTTCTGGTAGCAATATTTTTTCTGATGCATCTCCTTAGGCAAAGGAAACAAAAGAAAAAATAAACAAATGGGACTACATCAAACTTAAAAGGTTTTACACAGCAAAGGAAACTAGCAAAAAAATGAAGAGAAAACCCACTAAATAGGAGAACATATTCTCCAGTGATACATCTGATAAGGGGTTAATATCCAAAATTTATAAAGAACTCATACTACTCAACACCAATAAAACAAACAATCAAATTAAAAAATGGGCAGAGGATCTGAACAGACACTTCTCCAAAGAGGACATACAGATGGCAAACAGACATATGAAAAGATGCTCAACATCACTAATTGTCAGGGAAATGCAAATTAAAACCACAAGTAGATATCACCTCACACTTGTCAGTTTGACTATCCTCAATAAACCCACAAATGACAGTGTTAGAGAGGATGTGGAGAAAAGGGAACCCTCGTGCACTATTTGTGGGGATGCCGACTGGTACAGCCACTGTGGAAAATAGTATGGAGCTTCCTCATAAGATTAAAAGTGGACCTGCCTTATGACCCAGAAGTGATTCCACTTCTGGAGGATTTATCTGAAGAAACCCAAAACACTAATTCAAAGAAGAGATGCACCCCTATGTTCATTGTAGTGTTATTTACAATTGCCAAGTTATGGAAGCAACCCAAGTGCCCATCAATAGATGAGTGGATAACAAACCTGTAGTACATTACACAATGGAATATTAGTCATAAAAAAGAATGAAATCTTACCATTTGCAACAGCATGGCTAGACCTAGAGTGTACTATGCTCACTGAAATAAGTCAGTCAGAGAAAGACAAATACCATCTGATTTCACTTATATGTGGAATCTAAAGAACAAAATAAACGAACAAGCAAAACTGAAACAGACGCATAGATAAAGAGAGAGAACTAGTGATTGCCAGACAGGAGGGGGGGTTGGAGCACTGGGTGAAAGAAGCACAAATTGGAAGTTACAAAATAGTCATGGGGAAGTAAGTAAAGCATAGGAGATATAGTTAATAATATTGTGATACCTATGTATGGTGCCAGTTAGGGTACTGGAAATATCGAGGCGAACTCTATGTAAAGTATATGATTGTCTAACCACTAAGCTATACACCCAAAACCAATACCTGAAAAAGAAAAAAGAAACAAAGAAGTACTTGCAAAGATTTCATGGATTTGAATTGTGTTTTGGAATTAAGTCCCTGAATATACAAAAAAATGCTTGAATATATAAAAACATGTTTTTGTATATTTTGTATATTTAAATGTTTTTATATAATTATTTGGTACATTGAAATAAAAAAGGCAGAGAAGGTTGTGTGGAGGCAAGAATCAGAGACGCATACTCTAACTGGAATTTCAACAAATAATTAGCAAAAGCAACTCATTTTGGAAAGTATGCTATTAAGTACAAACATACACATATTACAAAAGGCAATTTCATACCAAGTCAACACGATTTCATACTTCATAGATACTGTTACTATCAGATCATTAATGACGGAACCAGGTATAACTGAGTTTTCAAAACTCTAACTTCTTAACTGATGTATATCCTGTATTTCTGCTATGATACTACAATGATACAACTTAATGCATTCCAGAAAAAGGTAGGCCTGGAACTCGTGATTAACAATTAATCATCAATGGAGAGAAAGAAAGAGGAGGGAATCCATCTCCATTAGAGGTAATTCATAAAGTTTCCTCTTCTAGTATGCCTTTCCCTAAAAGAAAGATAGAGATGATACAAACAGGGAGAGCATTCAGAGAAGCAGTAATTATGGCACTGAAAACTCACATGAATTGTCAGTTCCTTATGTAAGCATATTTGTCTGCCAGGTAACATTTCTTTAAAAAAATGTGTACCAACCACTTACTGATTTATAAGCCAAAATCTTTATAGACAAATTGGAGCCAATGGTCAGTTGACAGGGCCAGGGCATGGAAGTCCTCTCAATTTTCTTAAAGGCACACAGTTGTCTCAGACTCTCGCTTAAAAAAAAAAAAAAAAAAAGGAACAATTTTAAGATGTTAATTGTGTTGAAATGATGCGATTAGTTTTCTAGAATGAGAAGTGAACTGTTGTTGATCATAAAGAGGGGAACAGCAGGAGACAGAGGAATGTGACAATCACAAGTTGGAAGAAAGCCAGGTACAACTGAGTTGGCTTAGTGACAGGTGAAAATGAACATCTCTATCTCCCCCTCCTCAATCTTTTCTTTCAACTCAGCCAGTTGTTCTTAACATTTTTTTTCAGGACCAAGGACATTTTGAGGATATGATAAAAAGCACATTAATAAATGAGTTCCCACACAATATAAAGGGTTCCCCAAACTCCCTGAAAACCAAAAACTTGGGAATAAGAACCCCTCTCTAGGATATCATGAGGTGGACACCATCTTATAACATCCTTGCTCACAACTTTACAATTCTTATTTAATTCCAATTTTTGTAAATAAAAGGCACATGTATCTGCAAATAATGGAGAGAGTTAAATACTCTCCAGGGGATAAAGGAACTTCGAAGTCCGTATTTTAGTCTTAAGGCAAAGCAGATAGAAAACTCTAGGTTTCTTACTGGGGAGGGAGGAAGAAACTTGAGGGGTAGCAAACACAATGTAAAGTGTTACTTCATTTGAACATAAGTCCAGATCAATTCTACTTTTATCTGGCCTCCAATCAAACACAACAGATGACAGGAGATATTTGGAATCTGTGGTATTTACTAAAATAAGGAACAAAGGAATTAATGACCAAACACATTCAAAGCATACAGTCTAGACTATGATTGATCCCCTCAGTACAGATGAAAAACATATCCAGAAAGAGCTAAAGAGAATCCTGTGACATTATCTGGAGTTTAAATTTCCAGTATATTAGGGACTAATGTACCATTTCTTTAATGAAAATCAGAATATTTATTAAAGAATAACTGCTTAGTCAAGAGTGGCCCAGAAAAAGAAAAACATTAGGAAGCCCTCTGATCAAGAGAGAAATTTATATAGGTACAACTGAAAATTGTAACCAAGGTTTTCACTTCTCACCTGAAAGAATAAACTTCATCCAGCCCATCTTCACCTTCTAAAGACATCATCACCCTTTTCACCATCCGGATACCTTCCTTTTGCTGCTCAGTAATTCCTTTTAAAGGAAAGGAGGGCCCGTGGTTGTCCAAGGGAAAGTTGCCATCTCCTCTGTCCCCAGTTCCATCTTCCTTGCCAATTGGGAAAGGCAAACTATCAGGAAAAGATCAGCAGTAGTTAAGAAGATAAGCTCTGAAGCCAGGTAATAAACTGGGTTCCAATCCTGTGACTATCTCACTAGCTATGAGAAAATGAGCATGTCAGTCAACTTCTCTGAGCTTTAAATTTCTCATCTGCCAAATGGCACTATCTCTTAGCCAATATTCTATCATTGTTTTTAAATTTTATTATTATTTACTGATTTTAGAGAGAGAGAAAGAGAGAGAGAAATACTGATTTGTTGTTCCACCCATTCATGTATTCATGACAGGGGATTGAACCTGCAACCTTGGCACATTGGGACAATGCTCTAACCAACTGAGCTACCCACCTGGGGCTCTCAGTTTCCAGTAGCCGAAGCCTCTTTAATTTGGTAAAAACAGGAAGTTTATTGGCTTACATAACCAAATAATTGAAAAGGCAGAGTTGTACACGGCCTCAGGATGATTAGTCTCAAACACTGTGCAGGTTATCTGACCCTCTCGCTCTCTATCTCCATATTTAGTCTTCATTTGCTTTCAAGCTGGCTTCACTTCCTCAGACTGGCTTTCCCAGCTGAACACATTCAGGCTCACATGACCCAACTCTACTACCAAAGAGCAACTGAGTGTTTAACACTCTACTCTCAAATTAAAAACCAACCAACAGGAATCACTGGAGCCTGAGGAGCAGATCTAGAAGATGTCAGCCCTCATTCCCACTAGGCTAAAGTTTAAGAAGAAATGTTACCTAGAAAAAGGCTGGGTGACCATCTAGGCAGACATAAATAAATAAATGAATACCTATTAATTAATGATCCCTCAAGGTTATTAAAGATTAGAGGATGTGTACAAAATACTTAAAACTCAAATAATGTTATCATTAATATTATAGAGCATTCCTATACAAAAATCAAGTAATTGCTAGAAATAAGGAAAATCAATTTTGTTCTTGTGTTTCAGTCCAGTGGTTTGGCTGAAAAGAGACTAAAACTAGATTGGGATTCAATAATCAATACACAAATAGAAAATTAAATCAACTGAAAACATTTTATAATATTCTATATGGCACTTTACAAATGCTTTCATGTGAACAAGCTCATTTTACCCTTATATATTAGGTAGAAATTTCTACCTCTTATTTTCTGAAAAGAAACTGAAGCTACAGAAATGAAATAATTTGACAAAAGCCACACAGCTAGTAAGTGATGGAACAAAGACTTAGTCATGTGATTGAAAGGGTAACATTCTTTCTATGTAGCATATCACCTTACTTTGCCCCTGGAAACCTAAACAACTGAATTCAATAATCTTTTCAGTTCACTAAACATTACCTGTGGGTCACCCTTCGTGGATGGTTATTTTTAAGATGACTTCTCTATAGTTTTATTTGCTATAATTAAAATAGGGCTTCCTGTTTTTATTTTTCTGTGTACAATTAGCACAACATATTTGCATATCCTGTATTACCTATCAGATAAAGAGCTTCCAGGGAGCAGGGTGTGGAACGTAGAGTTTGCATCAGACTACTGCCGTTTCCATAACATCAGGCAGAAAAAAGGGAAGAATGACATGAAAATGAAGAGTCAGGGAGTTATTCAGGAAGAAGAAATTACAATAACAGTTCTTTCTACCCTGCACTAACCCAGAAATAAACCTCCTCAGTAGTCATTAGGAGAATCTAAAAACTAGGTCCAAGGAACAGTTCTGCTCAGAACATGATGCTTCTTTGACCTGCCAGTATTTTTTTAGTCCACCTAGAATAACCAAACATACACAGGATGCACCAAACAATAAAACCAAAACTCTACTTTGTATGCTGGAGGTTTGTAGCACAGGAAGAAAGCATATTACTTCCCACCACCACCACCACCAAAAAAACCCCACACAACTGGTCAAATAGCAAGCAAGTAGAAGAAAAGGCTGTTTGTTTCCCTCTTCAGCATGCTTTACAGTATTGCTCATACAAAATAAGTCAGAGAAAGATAAGTACCATATGATTTCACTCATATGTGGACTCTAGTGAACAAAATGAACTAACAAGCAAAACAGAGACAGACTCATAGACAGAGAGAGCAGGCTGACAGCTGTCGGGGGGACACTGGGGAGCTAGGTTAGGGGAGAGGGATTGAGAAAAAAAGAAAGAGAAAAAACTCATGGCCACAAACAACAGTGTGGTGAATGCTTGGGGGAGGAGAAGGGTATAGGAGGGATAAATGGTGATGGAAAGAGACTTGACTTGGGGTGAACACACAATACAGTGTAAAGATGATGTGTTGTGGAATTGTGCACCTGAAATCTGTATACTTTTCTTGACCAGTGTCACCCCAACAAATTCAATAAAAAGGAAAAATAAAAATAAATAAAGGTGCAGTATGCTTTAGCCATGCAAAGGCATCCTGAGATTATGAACAGGGAAGAGGAGCAGAGCTGGGCTTTTGAAATGTTGAAAAAACCTCAACTCCATAAGAGAAGTGTCACTTTAAAAGCACTTAATTTCTGTGAAGTACCATTTTAACAAGTATCAGTATGATGGGTTATTCTGAACTATTTTTCTACCAACAGGAGATGCCCCTCAGCAGTTCTAAGAGGTACATACACGCAAGAGAGGTGCTTAATTCCCCACGGCAGGCATTTTAAAGCCAAAGGCTCACCACTCTGAGCTGGAGGCTTCTTAGTATAGCTCTCAGTCTGAAAAATGAGTGTCCCCAGAAGCCCAATAATTCAACATCCTATACTATTACTCTGCTTTCACCAAAAATAGGACAAGAAAAAATAGGTTTCAGACACAGCAGGAAGGATGAGTGTAGTCAAAAGAACTTTCACAGAAGAAAGGAAATGCCTGGAGGGGAAATTCAAGTTACTGGGGAGGGATTCTCTCTCAACAAACTGTAAAATGTATTTCCCCCCTCTATTTGTATACCTCATCTCTATATACATACAAGCCAATTACATTCTATATATGTGGGTGTATCCTTTAGATCTGAAAAAAAGTTAAAAATAAGCACTTATATATGTTTACAATGATTCCCAAGTTGACATTTACCTCTACCCCAAAAACATCTACTGTAAGGCAGTTCTCTAGGGCTGTTTAAGAAAAGACTCCATCAATCTGGTCATTGTTTGGGAAAAGCCCTCTAAGTAGGCAGGGGATAAACTGAATATCCTCAAAAAATTCCTTTAATTCCTCAATTCTTTGAGACTAAGAACAGTGAACAAACAATCTGCTACTAAGCTAAATTCCTATGTTTCATTGTGATTTTCATCCCCTTGTCACCAAAACTCAGAAGAGTTCCTGGAACATAAAAAGTAATCAGTGAACATTTGCTGAGGTCAGTCATCTGACAGATTCCAAGTCAGAGCAGAACAAAGACTCCTGGAAACCAAGGGCTCTATAATGGGGCCCACCCACTACGTGTGAGAGCACAGGATTTGTCTACAAGTATTATTCTTGAAGTCTTACAAGAACTGCAGGGAGATACTGGATTTCCTCAAGTTATGAATTATAGTGTCCAGCTGATCTTTGCTGAATGGGCTGCTGAGGTCAGTGAACACTTCAATATGCCTCTTCTCGAACTTCTTTCCTCTACAAGAGAGAGTTATCACATTAAGAAATCATTCTCCTGAATGAGTTCCTACAGATTCAAATGCGCTTGTTCACTAAGCAGAAAGAGGCTAAGGAATGAATCTAGATTCAATTAACAAATGTCATTACCTTCTAGAAGTCCATGTACTATTGATACTCAGTTAAGTTTCTACCAAACACATTATCACCTGGTTATAACTCATACTTTTAACATCTTACGCAAAATTTCTGAGCATTATGGAAATATTATGTCCCTTATTTCCTAACTCTAACTTCAGGTAAAGATGTGGTCATTATGATTAAAAAGGATCCCTTTCCAGCCTCCACACAGGCAAAAGGTAAACAAGGAGCTCTCCTAGGGTACTACAACCTCAACCTTGCAAGGATTCACTTGCCAAACACCCTGGTTTGATTCCACTCACAGGGCTAGTAGCAGGATTTTGCTAAGAATGTATAGAGATTGAGAAATTATAATACAAATTTAGGTGTGAGATTTCTGTGCAAATCATTTTTCCTAACAGTCAAGAAATGTGTTTGTGTGTGTATGCAAAGACACATCTTTTAAAGACATGGTAATTAAAAAGTAATGAATTAGGAAGCTGGCCAGAGTTACTATGCATCTAATTTCAATAATATATGGACTATACTACTTAGCATTTTTAAAAATTTATGGTAATTAGTTTAAGTCAAATAGGAAGGAACCTGAAATAAGACAAATATTTATTCCTCCCTGAGAAATTCCCACCCAGTATATCCCTTCTTCCTTTTAAGCATTTATGAAAGGGGCTGACCCGAGCCACTGAATTCTATCAAATGTTTCTTTAGTCACACAAATATGCTGCCTGATTAACAATGAATCACATAGCGCACTGCACATATCAACCCATACAATTTTTGCAGGAAGGTTCATTTCCAGCTCTCCAGCTGAGACACTTACACGGTTTCTTGTTGGATCACATCCATGCACACAATAAGTGCATCCAGGACTCAGCTAGTTAAGGGCAGAAGATGCAACCAAAGAGTCCCTTTATCCCAAGAACACGCAACTTTCTTCTAATAAAGTCCACGGTGTTGGAAATTGTAGACACTGGGCTGTGTGATTTAAAAGTACTTGCCCAATGGTCCTTTTTCCAAAGTTTATTTCACTAATATATATTCATATATGCTATATATCAAAGTATACATCCTGAAACACATAACCAGGAAAAGTATAATAAACCAAAAGGTAATCTAACATATTTCATTCATTTAACCAAAAATTATAATGCCATTTTATGGTGACTACAACCCATTCTTTGTGATTAACAATCCACTCTTAAATACTAAGTAAGCCATAATGTAGCATTTGTAAGTTGCTCCCAGCACAGCAGCACCTTCTCATGATCAGGGATAGCACTACTAACTGTTAGAAAAATAAGAGTAACCCCTTTAAATCAGGGCACCTGTGGAAGAAACTGGAAATCTCATAGTTTGGCTATCAGTCTGATTTTTGGCACAAAAATATCCTCCATCCAGGAAAGCATGGAGAACGTTAATGTTATACTCTTCTAGAAATACCTTCTCTACGTCCAAACATTTCTGACCATCACCACCACCAAACCCTCTGTACATGGTCAATACACACATATACCCCCTGGTATCTTCCCCTTCCTATACCTCCCAACCTCTCAATATCACCAGTGCAAAGAGGGGCAAGATTCTATTCTGGAGGACCTGGAATCCAGGTACCCAATCCAATCTCATTAATTCCCCGTTAAATCCTAACACACATCACCTCCATGTCCTCATTGCCAAAAATCTCCAGAAAGTCAGAGCTGGGAATCTTAGAGAACCTCACCAAACTAGATTATGATTCCTCAGATTAAAGGAAAGTTCTTATGAATCTTCTTTGGCTGAAAAAGGATACAGTCAGCTTGTTGAGAACCTGGTTGGATTTTGCTTTCAATGTCCTCCAGCAAGTCAAAATCTGGTAGCATCAGATGTCTGTGCACTGTGATGTTCTGATACTGATCCTCACTAGCAAGGGCATTCTTAGTGCCATCTGTACCAAAAAGGACTAATGCGATTTCATCCTTGCTCTCAGCAAACACCTAGAGAAGAATGTTAGAAGGCTGAAAACCATACAGTAGCATGTGGAAGCCATTAGATACCTATCCTTCAGGGAGCAAGACAACCACACCTCCCTTATGGCAGGTTCATAGGACCATTGTCAGCAATAGAACATTGGGCTGAATGGCCCATGAGACTATGACAATTCTGAGGTTCTACAGAGACTTCTTCATGGACTATAGGTCCCACATTTCATTTCAGCACAATTTAGGGTGGGGAAATAGTAGGGTGGTAACTGCTCTTGGAGAATTCTAGTAAAATCAGACTCTAAGTTCTCAAAGAAAACTAATTATGGATAATTTGAAAAGATTTTAGTCTGTCTTTCTGGAATGACTATTCAAGGTTTAAATTTTCCAGAGATTAAAAAAATTGTTGCTGGTTCATACCCTATAGCCCAGGAATTTCATTCATAGGTGCATATACCATAGAGAAATTCTTACACATGTATACAAGGACACATTAAGCAAGAAAGTTCACTTCAGCACTGTTTATAACAAACAGGGCAAAACTGGGAACAAACCAACTACCCATCAGCAAGAAAGTGCAAAAACACATTGCAAAATATTTGAACAATGGAATACTACCACCCAGTAAAAAAGTGAATAAATTTGTGCAATGTTTATCAACAAGAATAAATCTCAACAACATAGGTGGAGAAAAAAATAAGCTGTAAAATGACATGTACCATATAATAACATCACATACTTTTGAGAACTTTACACAGAACTAAGTATTATTAATGAATATACTTATGTCCAAAAGTATAAAATATGCATGGTAATAACAATGCAAATTCTGAGAAGAGGGAAAAGGAAGGAAAGAAGAGGATTGGAAACAGATACACAAGGGGCTTCCCATTTATCTGTAACATTTTATTTTTTAAGAAAAAAAAGAAATTGAACAAATATGGCAAAACTTTAGTATTGTATATTGATAGACAATGGAAAAATAGATTTCTGTATTATTCTCTGCATTTGCCTCTTTTATGAAACATTTCATAATCAAACAAAAAATAGTATCTGACACAGCAGGCAGTCCTGTTCCCACCTATGATTAAGCCTTTCACATCAGTGGGGAGAATGCATGTGGAGAGAATGAAATTCTGTCCTTCATTTTTGTTCGGTCTCTTAAACTCCCCAACCTCTTAACAACTCCAGTTATAATCCCTAGTTGTACATGGAGAAAAAGTCCCAGCTGCTGAGGTTCAAACATGTCCAGCACACCAGTGGGACAGGACAGCTAGAATTCTATCTGCCTCCTGGACAAGAACCCACCTTCAAGCACAGTAATCTTGCTCAACAACAAAACCTCAGCCAGGAGAGGGGAAGAAACTTTGAGTGCAGCTTGAGACTGCACCAGGTTTTGTCTCCCAGCCTTCCAGATTCATTCACCCTCCCATGGAAGGGGCAGAGTCAAAAAGAAAACCTGAAAGCACTGCTTCTCTTAAAAAAAAAAAAAATCTATACTGCACTGGGGCACAGAGGCACTACTTAAATACAACCAACGCAAATATTATAGCCAATAATGGGATTACAGGCATTCTCTTCTTTGACACAGTAAGGACTCCAGGTCATCAGAATTTGTTAAAATCTAGGATGACAGGTGGGAGACAGTAGTGCCTAGTGGAAAGGGCAAAAACTCACAAGAAACAACACAGGTGTCCAGGAGGAGCATCAGTACCCAGGGAATGAAGCAGAGCTTCATGGACTTTACAGTCATTCCAAGTAGAAGGGGCAGAAATCAACAGAAGAGACTAATATGCCCCCTCCCCACTTTGACTGAGAGCTGGCTTTAGTGACTACTTGACTAAGAGAAAGCTAGGTCATAAAAAGCCACATAGGCAGGTCCCTTAGAATACCCACTCTTGGGATATGCCTTCTTAGAACCAGCTGCTATACTATAATAAGGAGAGACCACATGTAAAGGTTCTGATGGACAGCCCCAACTGAGTTCACAACCGCCAGAAGGCATAACTACCAGCTGTGGGACTGGGACATCTTGGATATCTGGCCCAGTTTAGCTTTCAGACAACTCAGCCCCAGTGACCGATCATCTGAGTGCACCTGTACAAGAGGCCTCAAGAGACAATCACCCAACTGAGCCACCCAGTCATCCATAGAACTATGAGAGATAATTTTTTAAAAGATATCATTTAAGATATTAAGTTTTGGGATAGTATGTTACCAGCAAAAGGTAACTGGAATAGGCACAAAGTAGTTGGACTTGTTCAAGATCACGAGATTAGTAAATGACATGGCAGAGTAAGGATTCAAACTCATGCCATCTGGCTCTAGAGACTGTACTTTTAAACATGACTTGACATTGCCTCTTGTTTCTGGTAAAAAAAACAAACCTGTAATAACCAGTGGAGGGGACAAAAACAACAGAAGAAAAAATATCAGGCTCTAATGATAGTTGAACTTCCACGGGAGAATATGTAATAAAGCTCCTCAGATCTCCAAACACTGCGGCTGGACATTGTAAACAGGCTGGTATCTTGCATTACTAAAGTGGAGGCAACAAACAGCTAAAACATGAGTTAAAAGCTTAACGCCAATCTGACACTTACCTGTCTCTGCACAAACATGGTCATCACCTTCTTTGCTAGTTCAAATGGAGATTCTTCACCAGGAAAGGAGTTACTCATGGCAAAGCCCACATCCATACACAGCACAACAGCTGCCTGGAAACAAAGTCCCAAAAAATATTTGAAAAATGTTAATAGTCATAAAAAAATCAATAAAGAGATATGTCCTTTCTTTATTTCACCCACAGAACCTGTACTGATCTTTAGGGGACGCATGATAAATAGAGGGGAAGTGTTCTACTTAGAGAATATATATAAGACATATAAGTTTTTACTATAGAGAAACTTTAAATAGTCCTAATATTTTCTAAAAGCTAGAAAGTATTTGCCAGGCAGGAGTATGCTCCAGGTAGGTGCTGCTCCTTTGGCCTGAGCCCAAGAATAAACCAAGGGGAAGCAGACCTGCAAACAACCTGCAAGCTAGAGCCAAAGCTAGCCCAGCTGAGCGCAAAATACATCAAACAACTGCAGCTGACCTGCAGACCCATGAGCATGAGAACTGATGTTTTTGTTGTAAGCCACTGACTCAGGGTATAGTTTCTTATAAAGCATTTTTGTGGCAATAGGTGACTACTACAATCTATACATGCGGAAATGACACACCACAACAATTTGAATTGGTTTATAAACTGGGGACCTAAAATAAAGACCAAGACATCAAATCTACTCTAGTAGGGGACAAATACACATAAACAAATAATACCAGCATAATGTTCCACGACAGAGGTATGTAGTGGGCACTAAAAGAGCACACGAGGGGCATCTACCCAAGACTGGTGGAGGAGATAGGAGGCAGAAAAAGCTGCCTGGATATGAAACCTGGGTGAGTGTTAATGAATGAATAGGAGTCAGTCGTGTGAACAAGGGGAGCTACAGATAGAGGGAACCACATAAATAAAGACACCTAGCCATTAGATAGTAATCATGTATGTAGGGGACTAAGAAAACAGGGAAAACATAAACTAAAAGGGATACGTGTGAAATTCTATATTTGGCATCTAATACTTAACTGAATATCAGTTGGAAGAGACCTGAACAAAGAGCAATAATTTCAGAATGGATTATAAAAGGAGTCACCAGTATGACACAGCTACAGCAATACATTCCCCACATCTATCTCATTTCACCCTCCAAAATATTTTAAGTTGTGTCAATGGCTTATTGAATTCAACTAAGGAAAAGAAAGGGCTTATGGTGAAAAAAAGACTAGATTAGCAATCTCGAGACCTGAGATCCTATCCCATTTTATTATCAATTAGCTCTGAGTCCTTGGGAATGTCACTTAGCCTCACTGCTAATTCTTGGAGGCAGAAAGCAACTGTTGGACTAGATGAGATCTAAGGTCTTTTCCAGAGTTAACATTCTTTGACACTGACAGCCTCACCTATGCTTTGTACTGATCAGATCACATTTGACAAACTGCGAACAGTTCTGCGCATCACATCTTATGAGAAAGACTATTAAAACTGAACATGAAATGAGCAGGTTAAAGAAGGATCTGAAGAACATGTGAAGTGAGGAACAGTTTTAAAAAAATAGATATTTAAGCCAGATGAGAAGATTTAGGCGAACATGACAGTTCCTCCCAAATATTTGACAGCTGTGTTATAAAAGGATTGGTCTTAGAGAGAGATAGTCAGATCAAGCAGATGGAAGTTACAGGGAGATTGGTTTGACTCCATACAAGGAGAAAAAAGTAACATTTAGAAGTGATCAGTAAAAGAACCAGTTTTCTGAAGCAATGATCTCCTGACCTGACCCTAGAAGTGTTTGAAAAACCTGGCTGAGCTCCTATCAGGGAAGTTATACATGATTTCTAAATTTGGTCATATCTCAGGCAACACATGGAAAAGGAAGACTATTTAAGTTTTTACCTAGTTTACAAAGAATTAAACTTAATGCACTAATATTAAGAGATTTCTGGAGTAAAGATAGCATGTTTGGAGAAAAGGTGGTAATAAACTACAAAATTTCTCTGAAAACAATAAAATTTACATCCCATAGTTTCAATGCCTTGAGTATAAAAATCTTAAAAAACTTAAGAGTCCCCAAAATATGCTGCTGCATTTATTTAATACATGTTCATAAAAACAACTTTTAAATGAGAAAACCCTAAGCCTTTTGTTAGGAATCAGGGACCCCAAAAAATACCATCAAAGGGTTTCACAATATAGAACGTCTTGTATGGAAGGAGAAGAACAGTCCATGTAATATTTTGAGTTCATTTCTGGCAGCAGTAAGAATATCAGGAAAGAGAAGCTGGGCAGCGCAGAAACTTGGTTCATTTATACACCAAAGCAATCCAGGCTGTTAAGAGTTTTGCTGCAAGCCCACCTGCCATAAACAGCTGCTCCACTAAAGCTGCAAAGTTTTCAGCAGCTGAAAGAAGAGGTACAAAAGAGGTGAGTGGTAACACATATATGTTCATAATTATTTTAATCAACGTTTCTCAACAGAAAATTGAGGGCCTGGGGATCAGTTGCTCAAACTGCTACCTTGTTTCTCTGTGTACCAGACGCCTCTAAGGCCTTGCCTTTGGGTGAGTGAGCGACTTCCTGGAACACACCTCCCTCTAGTGACCCTTCCACACAACTACCACTCTCCACCTATGTTGAAGAAGTCATTTAAAAAATCATTTTAATATCCGTTGTTAATTTGGGACACTGAAGGACATAGATTCCTAGCAACACAAATTCTCCAGGGCTCTGAAACCAGACTGCCTGGGTTCAAATCCGAGTTTCACCGCTTACAGACTGGGTGACCTGGGACAATCACTTCACATTTTTCATGCCTGTACCTTGAGGTTACTAGTTTTCACTTTATGGGCTTGCTGTTGAAATGAAATAGGAATACAGCCTTCATTCAGATCAGTACCTCACACAGAGTAAGCTTTCAATAAATGTGAAATATTAGATTATTACAGAGGTAATAATATGGCATTCAAGTTACTATACTCACAATACCTCTTAAGTTTCACAAGTCTGTGGGGTGGGTGGTTACCAAGGCTAACTTCCATTCTCATACAGATTTTCTAAACCCAGGCTCAGAAGTAATGGAGAAAGGGATTAGGGGGTGCACTGGGATGGAGGGGTAGTGAGCGGTGGCCGACTGGAGAGGGAGGTGGGATGAGGAGGGGAGGGAGAAGGAGTGAGAGGATGGGAGGGCAGAGGAAGGGGTAGGGAGCAGGCGAGACTCAAATTCTGGTCTTAAGAGTCCAAATCCCCAGCGTTTCTCCCAGCGCATCCCTAGAGCCAGGCCCTCCTGACCCGGCCCTTGACCCGACCCTTGACCCCACGGTCTCCCCTCTCCCCTTCTTGGCACCGCCTTCATCCCATGATTCCTGTTTCTGAACCGCCCTCTCCATCCGCAGCAAGGGCGTCCAAGCCCGAGCTCCCTCTACCTTGCTCCCCGACCGCGCCATGTTGCCGCCCAGCCGGCG